GTCTAGGCCCGAAACGTCAGCCTTCCTGCTCCTCTGATGCTGCTTGGCCTGCTGTGTTCATCCAGCTCTACACCTTGTTATCCTGAGGCTACTGTCTTTGAGGTCTTCCAAATTTACTTTCTCCCTAGCTCATGAAACCTAACCTTAAGACCTCAATACTTGCCCTGTGTCATCAGTACGAACATGTATCACAACTTCTGGCTCACTTCCTTCCCCTGAATAAGTATGTATGTGAACATGTGGAGGAAAAACTGGAACATGTGCTATTAGATATATGCTTCAAAGAAGACTTCCAATTTCATACAGGTCCACTCCCTCCATGTTTTATGCTCCTAGATGTTGAGCGTAAGCTATTCAAACAGACTGACGGAGCCTCCCTTTAGCACATTCCTGCCTGTTATACACTGCTTTCTCTTGTAAAGCATACAGCTAGAATGCATCATATCAATAGTGTGTGGGCTCACCTTCCAAATATGAAAATTAATGTTTGCATTGGCAACAATAAAATTTGCTTGCTAAGAGTAGGAAACCATGCAAAACTTGGTAAGAGATGTCAAAGTTGAGTCTGAATCCTTAGTTATTTGATGAAATGAAATACTAGCTGGACATAAAATGGCAGACATCAGAGAGCACAGATGCCAGCTTGAGCAGTAAGTAGCCCTCTTGCTTCCAAGTTAGAAAGTTTTTGGAATCAAGTCCCACTCCAAGCTAACACTCCAGTGCTGTCTTGAGGAAGTGTTGCACTAATGGAGATGAATGAAAACTTAAACTGAGACACTGTTAGCCCCATCAGGTGGATGTCCTGTGGCACTATTTTGAAGAAAAGTAGAAAGTTTCAACTGCCCTTGTACCTTCCTTTCTAACACTTGGCTAATATTTATTCCTTAATCATCATCATCGCAAAAAATAGATCATGTCATCATTATCACCTTGTGGTTTTTAGGACCTTGCTGTGCATAAGCTGACTGTCGTGTTTCCTACTTTACACAGTAACGACATCAAAAGTACTGAACTGACTGCCAAACGCTTTGAGGAATCTGGTAATTGTGATGCCTCTATATAAATGCATATATTTCTTTTCTCCATAAACAGACAAATTGCCTTCACTTTTTCCCACAGTTTTTGGCTATCACAGATAACTATGACACCGCCTTTCCACTCAATACTAGCCAAATGAGTGGAAATTTATGTGGAATAGCTTCTCTTGGGTTCGAAATACGGGAGTCGTCTTTCCTGTACTACTTGCACAAGCACTTATCCCTGCATTGCAAAGTAGAGATATGCTGCATTCTTGAACTGCCATTTGGTTTTAGCGTTCAGCAAGCTACACAGGAATGGTTTTAAATGGAAGATACAACATTTTTCCACTCATGCTGCTGGACAAGCTTTTGTCAGCAATTGCAGTCCAGACTGCACTCATTAAACATTATCCATGAGATCACATCTATAAAATCCTGTCAGTATGGCCTGCAGCAACTTCAGGAAGTACAAAGTTTTCTGCAAGTCCTACAGTTTCAACATGGAGAGTTGGAAGTTACATCTAAATTGCACAAAATCAAGAATAAGAAGGAGAGAATTAGGAAATATTAAAACATTCAAAAGATGCACGCATGTGAAATGAAAGAGGCAAGTTTGATTTCATTATGTATATGCTCTGTTTCTATAAACAATTAGAATAAAAAGCAAAATACAAATTATAATTCAGCAATTCAATTGAGTAGCAGGTTCTTGCAACCTCCAAGAAAAGATGCAATCAATATCCTAGTTGATTGTCTTGCACTCTAGTCTTTTGATGTTCTTTGAAAGTAAGGCTTAATTTTTTTTTAACAGTTTTTACAATAGATGGCCAATGTACTGATCACTTCTTAGGAGCTATAAACTCTTATGAAATTCAAGCCATGGAAAACATGCACAAATGTCCTGTGACTGTACTGCAAAAAAATCTATGTTATAAGAAATCATACAGCAAAGCATGCCTACCAACATCCACCTAAAAGAGAAGTGATACACCAGATGATTGTGGATCATTCAACAACATCAGTATCTGTACAGCACCATTAAAGCAGTAAAATGACTCAAGATGCTTCACAATAGCCTTACCACAAAAGAGAAATTTGGGAGAATGGTTGATGATTTGGTCAAAGACACAGATTTTAAGAAACACCTTAGCAGGAGGAAAGAGAGGGAGACAGATTTAAAGGAGGGAATTCTAAGTTTTACAGCCTTAGCAGTTGAATCATGGCCGCTGAAGGTAGCATGATTAAAGTTGGGGAAAGTCAACAGACTAGAATCGTAGATGTACATATCATAGGCTGGAGGAGATTCATAACTATGTACATAAATGCTTGTTAATTCATGAGGACAGATAACCTTGAGCTGTGTGACTGTGAATGGGTGATTAGAAGCTGTGAATGCCTGAACATTATACATGAGAAAGAACCAGGAGTTGGCTACATGGTCCCTCAAATCTGCATCGGATATTTAAGATTATAGCTGATTCTTGACCCTGACTCCACCTTTCTTCCTCATCTCCGTAACCCTTGATTACCTTAATGCCCAATCTCAGCCTTCAATTTATTTCATCTTTGTGCAACTTATGGCCTTCTGGGTTACAGGATTTTGAGGAGTTACATACTGCTGAATTAAAATAGTTCTCTGCATTTCAATACAAAATAGTCAATTTCTTATCCGGAAGCTATGTGTCTAGTTCTAGACTCTTGCATAAGGGGAAACAGTCTGAGGTGAGTACCTTGTCGAGCTTCTCAGAATAATATATTTAAGGTGAGATCACCTCTCATTTTTTAAAATTCCAGATCGTCTCGGCCCATTTTACTCATAGGACAACTCTCTATCTCAGGAGTCAATCTGGTGATTGAGATAAAAACCAAAAGAACTGCGGATGCTGTAAATCAGGAACAAAAACAAAGTTGCTGGAAAAGCTCAGCAGGTCTGGCAGCATCTGTGGAGGTGAAAACAGAGTTAACGTTTCGGGTCCGGTGACCCTTCCTCAGAACAGATTGAGATTGTGATTGAGATGACATGTTCATTCTGGTTCTCTTTCCATGGTTATTGCTAGATGTGCTGAATACGTTTTAACATTTTCTGTTTCATTTTGGTCTAATGAACTTTTGATGTACTCCTGCTAGGCAAGGAAATTTTTCTTAAAGAAGACAACTAAAACTGCACACACCCCATCAATACTCCATAGTACTCTCTTCAGAAGAGTCACATTGGAGTTGAAAAATTTTCTCCATGGATGCTACCAAACCTGCTGCATTTCTCCAGCACTTTCTGTTTTTATTGTGAACATTTTGTGTTTCTAGTACAAGGACACCCAAATCTCTCTTAATGCAAACATGCAATTATATCCCACCATTTAAAAACATTAAAGTTTTCTTTGTGAGATAGTAAGAACTGCAGATGCTGGAGTCAGAGATAACACAGTGTGGAACTGGAGGAACGCAGCAGGGCAGGCAGCATCGGGGGAGCAGGAAAGCTGACGTTTCGGGTGGGGACCCTTCCTCAGAGGGTGCTGCCTGCCCTGCTGAGTTCGTCCAACTCCACAAAACTTTCTTTGTGCGGTGTTAGGATCTTCTAAGGCACAAAGTTTTTAAATCAACAAAGTTTCCATTGCACCTTTCAGGGCTTATGTTCTTCCAATGATTGCTGTACTTATGAGGCAAAGAATCTCAAAGTATCATCATGAAATGTGAAGAATGGTGATTTATTTTAAGATACCAAAATCAGTATATTCAATTTATATACTTTATTTAAACAACATTTTTCAAAACATTCCACTACATATCAAAATTAAAATCTTATTGTGATGCTTATTTAACATTGTAGTAATTGGTACCTGTTGTCTGTTGCTTTGGCAGGCAGAACTCAAATGCTTAAACCAGAGCATCGCATTCCCTCTATTACCAGCCTGGAATTTGTAAGAGTTTCCTGAAAATGAGTGTGAAAGAGCAATAGGATGGCAATATTATATTCAACTGTCACAGTATTAATTTAACTTCAAAAGGTTCTTTTACGAAAATAGATTCTACCACTAAGAATCAAAAAAAGGTTGCATAATTAGAAACTTAAAAAACCCAATATATTTGCCAGTTTTTGGCTCAGTCAGCCTTGTGAAGAGACTGAAACAAATGTAAAAGGAAAGGAAATGAGACCTTTTCCATTCATTACTCACCCCTTTCAGAGTCTGTAAGCTGGAAAACATCTGGATGCTCTGGATCATCAGCCATCATCACCATCCAACCCACAACTGACACACTCTTACTCAAACTTGATTTGAACTGCAAATCAGAAAAATTAGACACATCAGTAGGACCGTGGATTTGAAGACTTTTTCAGATTTGATCAAGTAACGGGGCTGTATAAATAGCATACTATCATAATTCAAAGGCAACATTAAAACAGATTGTAACTTACAGACCCATTGGGATGGATTAATGGTTTCTTGCTGCACAAATTGTGTATGACACAACAACAATTTGCTTTGATGCAATGTTTTAATTATAGAAGAATATCCTAAGACATTTATAAAAGTGGAATGGATGCTGAGTCAGGATGGGAAGAATTGACTGATATTTTGATTTAAGAGAGTGGTAATAAGGAGGCTTTGTAAAGTACATATTAGACAACTGAAAAAAGATCAGGCTAGTAAAGTCTAAATAGCATGAAATTACATACTACTAACACTGGTCCTAATCAGGAACTTAAGTTAAAAAGAAGTAATACATTTCAAGCACAGGCTGACAAAACTGAGGTCTCTTGCTTCTCCGAACTCTTTAAGATGATTCAAGTTTCATCAACCTGCTGTCAGATTTCTCCCATATATTTATTATTATTTCTATTGCTGAATAGGAACAAAAATGTTTTAACATTTCCTTTTTGTAGCTGATATTGTTGTTTTGTACATTAAGACAGGAAGGATCTCTGCTGGTGGTGTGAGGAAACAATATTGCCAATATTAGTAGATGGAATTCTTTGAACGTGGATATAAATAGTTATATGATATCATCTGTAATTCACATGGTAAAGCACATTTCATTTAGGTGAAAATTAAGACCACCTTGCTCTATTTTTCTCAGCACATCATTTACATCAGGCCAGGTCATCAAAGAGGAAGAAGCCCTGAGGAAACAACCTTTCGAAAATGCACTGAACTTTCATAACACTTTTAAGATAACTTCCTTTTCATTTGTATAATTACTTGGCTGGGTTTATAAATCAGGTTCTCACAGGGTTGGAAAAGAATACGGTAATTATAACAAGACAGCCACATACAAAGAAGTACATGCAAAACGAAAAGAGTTAGATGGAAGGGACTGAGTTATATGGGCTACAAAATTACTTTAAAAACAAAGTCATCACGTTTGGTGTTTTAAACCACATTTCAGTCTTTTTCAAACAAGGGTCACTGCCAGATAGAGTTAAGAGAAATAGGCGTCTTCATATTTCACATGAGCAGACCTATCAAATTCCAAGGAAGAATAGAAACTTCAAGTGTTGCAGAAGTTGGCTGAAAGAACTGGGCCTCAAAACAAATTAAGTAAGCAGTTAAGGTAATGCTGATACTTAAGGGCTAATTTTAAGTCTGCCCACCTGGTGGAAATGGGGTTGCATTCACAAGAATGGATGTCACTGGCTGGGCAAGCATTTATTGATCGTCCCTAATTGCCCTTCAGTGACATAAACAGGTTAAATGATGGGCAAAGATTTGGCAGATGGAGTCCAATGTAGGAAAATGTTAGGTTGCCCACTTTGGCAGAAAGAATAATATTTTGAATGGAAACAATCTGCAGAATGCTGTGGTACACAGGAATCTGGGTATCCTTGTAAAAGTTATTCTGCAGGTGCAGAAGTAATTAATAAGACAAATTTATTGCAGGGGATGTGAATATAAAAATCTTGTTAAAACTGGACGCAACATTGATGCAATGCATAGACTATTGCGAACAGTTTTGGTCTCCTTACTTAAAGGGAAACTTTTGGTTAGCCCTTTGGAATTCTCCTCCCAGAGAGCTGCAGAGGTTCTTTCACTTTATATGTTCAAAGCTGAATTAAATAGATGTTTAATCTACGAGGGAGATCAGGCAAGAAAAGGAAAGTTATGGCCACAATCAACTCAACCAAGAAATGAGTGAATGGCAGTATACAGACTTTTCCTCCAAATTTTTTTATGATATTATGCCAATGGTTCTTTTAATAAACACTCAAAGAAACCAAAGGCCTAAATATCTTGCACATTTATCCTTATTTACATTAATGGCTTGCCAGAAGACATTATAAATATGCATCCATAACATGAGATGCCATAAAGAAAGACATTTGGTCAACAATTCATGCAGAAATACACTGAGAGATTGTGCATGAATTGTCATTTGGAAGTAAGCAGTCTCAAGATGGTCACTCAAGTGAGCAAGTTCTTTCCTGACAAAATGTAAATAGCTGCAGTGAAAAAAAATTGCCTAGTTTTGAGAAATCACAAAGTTCCAGTGACAGAACATCTTTATGATTTGTTAGTATTTTTTCAGTGACATGAAAGTCGAATAAAATTCTGAATTAACTTCCAAAGTTTAGAACAACTGGTCTGTTAACTGATACAATCAGACGATTCACCTAAACTTCGGAGAGATTTACTGATTTGAAATGATATACCTCTTGGCTGGTGTGGTGACTAAGTGGTTAGCACTACTGCCTCACAGTGCCAGGGACCTGGGTTCAACTCCAGGCTTGGGCAACCGTCTGTGTGGAGTTCGCACATTCTCACCGTGTCTGTATGGATTTACTCTGGGTGCTCCAGTTTCCTCCTACCGTCCAAAGATGTGCAGGTTAGATGGACTGGCCATGCCAAATTATCCGTAGCATCCAGGGATCTGCAGGCTGGGTGGGTTAGCCATGGGGAGTGCAGGGTTACAGGGTAGGGAGTGGGTCTGGGTGGATTCAATAGGCCGAATGGCCTGCTTCCACACGGTAGGGGTTCTATGATTCATTGGAAAAATTCCTTAAAAGCAACTTCCAAACTATTTTGTTCTAGAAAGTCTCAATATAAATCCAAATTTTTGAAATTTTACATGTGGAAATGACAATTCCAGAGCAGAACAACTTATATTTGAGACCAAGATATGCTATAGGTATTTTTAATGAATCTGTTCAGAGATGTTATTGCACACCTCTGGAGGAGGCAGTACTTGAACTTGGGCCTCCTGGCTCAGAGGTAGGGATTCAACCACTGCACCACAAGAACCCCAAGATGTGCAATATGTTGATGATAAAGGACTAGTATTTCTTTGACTATATTGGTTGAGAAACCTGCATTTATTTCCTTTGGCCCTGGAAGATTTGGCCCTGTTCTGTCATTCAATCGTTTTCATCTTTCGTCATAACTCAGATCTTCCTTTTGTCCTTGTCCAACCCACCCCTTGCTCTAAACCAATCTTATGTCTAACTTTTCCCAGTTCTGTTGAATAGTCACACCTGAAATGTTACCCATCTCACTTTCTACAGATGCTGTCTGACTCACTGAAAATTTTTTCAGCATTTTCTGTTTTTATTTCAAATTTCCAGAATTCACAGTATTTGGTTTTTTTGACAAGAAATATTGATTCTGTTACACTGTGCCAATGTAATGCGAATTGTAGGAGTTCTCGCTTAAAATCCATTACATAAAACATTACATAAGACTGATTATGTTTAATGCTGTAGATTGCTTTTATTGGATTCTAACTAGTCTCGAGAACAAACAGTTTTTGGGAACAGTTGTACTTACATGCTTTCTTTCTGTTGGTTTTAAGGACTTGGCTGAGTAGTAATAGAGTTTTGCTCCACACAGTGCCACCCAGTACTTGGTCCATGAAGCAACCTACACAAAGAGACCATAGCTAGTAACTGATTTGATATGGTTTCTTAATTTTCACAGGGGGAAATGCATGGAGTTGCTGTTGTAGTGGGTTTATCAACTTTGATCTCAATAATGAACACCATAAATATTAAAAAAAATGACAAACAGTGGTTAATATATACAATGGAACTCAGAGATTTACATGTTTGAAGTCTGGAGAGAACTCATTTTCATTTAAACTATGTGTATGTAATTTCCAGCAATACTGTATATTTGGGCTATTATTTTTCACTCACATTTCAGCACGTGGGCAAGCTTCTAATATTCATAAAAAGCAAAAGAACTGCGGATGCTGTAAATGAAGAACAAAAACAAAGTTGCCGGAAAAGCTCAGCAGGTCTGGCTGCATCTGTGAAGAAGAAAACAGAGTTAACGTTTCGGGTCCGGTGACCCTTCCTCAGAACT